CATCATGGACATGTATCCTAACATGTATAATCTATGTACCAAGTTTGAACGACAACTGACAAAGCATGTCCAAAATACAACATTTTCAGAAAACAAGATGGCTGCCAGTTGGCCATTTTGAATCGAATCGCTAAACCACTGCATGTGCATATGTCCCACATAAGGTACTAGGCACATGCAAAGAATGAACGGAATCGTTCCACAGGATTCTGAAATATGACGTTGGATAGACTGACGCACGGACAGACGGACACACGGACGGTCGGACGGACAGACTCAGGAACTCACGAACGGTCGGGGACATGTATCCTAACATGAATGATCTATGTACTAAATTTGAATGAAAACTGACAAAGCATGTCCAAAATACGACATTTTCAAAAAACAAGATGGCTGCCAGTCGGCCATCTTTGATCCAATTGTGAAATAAATCATCATGGACATGTATCCTAACATGTATGATCTATGTACTAAATTTGAATGAAAACTGACAAAGCATGTTCAAAATACCGACATTTTCAAAAAACAAGATGGCTGCCAGTCGGCCATCTTTGATCCAATTGTGAAATAAATCATCATGGACATGTATCCTAACATGTATAATCTATGTACCAAGTTTGAATGAAAACTGACAAAGCATGTCCAAAATACAACATTTTCATAAAACAAGATGGCTGCCAGTCGGCCATTTTGAATCGAAACGCTAAACCACTGCATGTGCATATGTCCCACATAAAGTACTAGGCACATGCAAAGAATGAACGGAATCGGTCCAAGGGATTCTGAGATATGACTACGGACGGACGCACGGATGGACGGAGACCAAATTATAAGTCCCCGTTTTCGGACTTCGTTCGAACGGGGACTAATAAAATCCGGCGAATATACCTCAGTGAAACTAAATTCCATACAAAACACACACAAAGTCTTTTCAGCAAAAATTAATACCAGCTAAAATAAAGTATTTTACAGTATTAAATGAATAAGCAAAAAGTTAGTGAATACAAACAAATATTTATCTTGGTACAAGCACCATAAACTGAATTATTGCCATCCGAATTGTTCTTAATGACATACTATACATCTTAGAAGTATTCAGATATATTTTTAACATGTTGGCAAACTATTTTGCTCACAAACTTTGTTTTAGCAGATGGCAAACCATCCTTGCTGGTGTCAACATGTGGTCAAAGTAAATGTAAATCAATTTACTATTTGCAGCAGGTAATGCAATTCAACCACAATTATTTTTAACCTTTCAACCACCAAACTTTCTTGCTCAAATTTTTCTGCATTTTTTCCTACCTTAGGTATATTCTTCAATATTTCTGGAAATAAACCCTAATTTTGAAGCCAGCAGACAAAATTTGAATAAATTTTCAGTTTTTTACCTAAACAATTTGGCTATTTTTGTCACTCTATAAATGAGACTATTTTGTGAATTTGTAATTAAAAGAGTGAACTGGTGATGGAAAGGTTAAAACTATATAATCTATTTCTTATTGCTGTAACTGGTAGGTCATACAGTGAAACTTGAATAAAATTTTAAATAAAAAATGGAAAAAAATAGTAGGAGCCATGTATCTTTTCAAAATGGGACTGTACATCACAGTAACTCATGTGACTATGATTACATAATATTCTGATTGTAGGTAATCAACAAATTAGAGATAAAGTTTAATAACTTATTGTTTGAATACTTCAGAGACTTGATATAACATGTACAGACATGGTAGCAGCACTTCCTGCATTGCTACAACAAATCATGATTCTTCCTGAATTCAGAAAACTTGTCTCTCACAAAATCAGATGTGGTTACAGTGAGTTACTTACATTGAGCCACACGTTAGACTCCTCTTCAAATAGTATTTTGATGCTGGTTTCCTCAGCATGTGGTGCTTTCATCTCTACATCCAAATCAACTGGTACAAAAAAATTCAATGGTATCAAGACTAATACTAGCCTCTGTTGGTTTCGGCTTAATAATTGAGCCCACACACTGGAAGGGAAACAGAGTAGACTGTAACAGTATAGTTCACTGCCATAATATATAATGTGAGGTTACAGTATTATGAGAAAACCTCAAAGTATGCACAAAGACAGTACAGCTGGAGTATCCACAGACGCACAGTGGAGATTGATGCGCCGTGTACTGCCCGAGTGCATACTTTGAGTTATTCTCGTAATAACCTTATTATTATACATCTTTTCCTTCCAAGGATACATCATGGGAATGCCGAAATTCAAAAAGTTTAGAACAGAATCAGCGAACTTGTTTGTGTGGAGTCAGGTCAAACCCTGATGGAAGTCATGTTTGTTTTCATTATTAGAGGACGTAGTCATTCCATATTTGGAATTCGCATTTCCATATATTGTAGAATGAAAATACCCCGTAAAATTATGACATGCTGTAACTTATGGCATTACGGTGACAGATGTATATACAAGCAATACTTACTTGTTACCATCAGGAGTCCAACCACATCTCACAGTATACTCCAACCATGGATACAGACTATTCAGGGATTCAGATAAATATTTATCTATGACGGTACCAATCTATAGATAGAAACCATCACAATTATTAAAGACTGCAGCCAGTGTATTTTCTCACTATGGCTGCCTGCAAATTCATTTAAATCAGGACATCAATATAACTTACTTTGCCATTCTGTTCTATTTTTACTTCTATTAGTTTCAATAAGCAATCTGCATTTGCAGTCCCTGATGGAGAAAAAAAAAAGGTTCTAAAGTTTGTTCATTGAAACACACAAGCATCCTCTCGGCCTAATGCTTCGTATTTCAATTAAAGAATTGAAGATATAATAAAATGGACAAATCTGAGAGAGGTCATCCTGTAGTACCTATATATATATATATATAATATCAAAGTAATTGGACTTGTGGTTTTCAACAAGAAGTTGAAAATATCACTTTCTACCAAAAATGACAAAAATATTCATCATGAAATGAACAAATCTAAAAGAGGTCTATCCAAGCTACACATACACCAAGTATGAAAGCAATCAAACTTGTAGTTTTCAAGAACAAGTCAAAAAGGGTAAAACGTTGATGCGGACACCAACGGACAATCACTCATATGATAAGCTCTGCCCAACAAAGTCAACAGCAAAGCTAAAAATAGACCAACCAGTGAAATTAACACAGCTAGTACATTCATCAAGAGTTAGTACATCAATGTTGCTTTGCTCATTACATAATATGCTCTTCTGATGTCACCAAGGTTCAGGAGATATTCAATAGACAAGCTGCAAGTTACTGAGTTACTGTATGCGCGAATTGATTAGATCCCTGTGTGTTGTCCCTCAGAGATATCTTACATTGTACGTATGAATGCCATGATGTCAGGAATTATAATCTGTCTTCCTGCTTCAGGTACATGTATGAATAGAATTCAGTAAATTCTCAAAAGCAACCTGAACACAAAACCAACATGTTCATACAAAATTGAAGCTCAATTAATCACACTTCAGTCTAATACGGCCTAGTCTCTCTGACCAAAAATGCATCAACTCTCATTTGTTTACACAAAGCCAAAGAACCAGAGAAACAGAAACTTGGCACTTAATGTAACTGGATATACAGTGTCATGTCATTAAAGGAGTGTATATTTGACTAACCAGCTCGAGGATATCGGTATTCATCTACATCTTTGTCACCGCTAGCTGGGGAACTAATATGTAAAATCTCAACTCCACTTTCGTCAACTTCCTCATAAAGAATCTGAATCGTCTGTGATCCGTCACTGTTGTTTGTCATTTGCGGTTGCCACCAGTAACCAGTATAACGATCAAACTCTTCTTGTACAATGTACGAGGCGACACCAGCGCTTTTAGGATCTTCTGATAAAGAACATTGACCTGGAGATATGTACAAACCAATCAACATTACTCAACAATACATCATGTACACAGATAAATAAACAGTCACAAGAATAGGAAAAGTCTGAGATCAGTCAGCAGCTGTTAGATAAAAATATTATATTTTCACTTGGAATTTTTTTTTCAATTTTTTTTACTGGAGGGATTCAGTGGCCACTGAATATATCTTTTATTTTTTCTATATTTTACATTCGACTCATTAAAAATCAGTGAGAATAAACTCTATTAAAAAAAAAAACACAAAATAAATTCCACCTAAATTAAGGTATTTTATCGCATTTTAACGCAAGGGTAACACATACCAAACATTGGTGAAAAATCTCAACTTAAATTTACTTATCTAGTCCTTAATTTAGAACGCAAAAATGATGGCTGTATGTATAATTCACAGAGGAAAGGCAATTTCCCTTTTTGTCCTACCTGGCTGCATTGGTGTTTATACACAGTTTCAAACAGACAAGCATTTTCAAAATGTTTCACCTCAAAAATGAGTGCCCTCACAATTCCAATGTTCAAAATATAGATGTGAATGCTGTACATATACAGAATTGTTTGAGTTTACCTTTATGTACAAATGTAAGTCTTTTTGATTCTCCACGCTCCACATTAGCAACCCATATGTCACTATTATTAATAAACGCTACAATGTTATTATTACTTGGACATAGTTTGGCATCCATCCTAGAACCATTACAGTGGTTACTGATTTCATCTGGAAATACAGGTAGATTCTGAAACACAAGCAAATTCCAAACATATGCATATAAACAGTGCAATTTCTACACTCGGTAATTATTACATTTCCAGCTGCTTCCATTTTGTAAGATGAATTTTCCTAATAATTTTGTGACTGGAAAATTCATTATTTATGTCAGGAATTTAGCAAGTGAAAATTTCAAAACAGTACTTTGAAGGTAATTGCGCTACAATATTCTGTGATGTCGCAGTGTCTTCATGAGTGAGTTTAGAAATAAACATGTACTTACAAGTGATGAATCTGTAAATGTAAATAAACTACTACAAGCAGGAAATAGAAATCGACCACTACTGAGATCAAGGTCATACGATGTTATTCCGAAAGCACCAAGACGTTTTCTTTCTCGCAACAACTGTTCTTCTTTTGAAAACAATCCAAGATGTGGCGTCGCCTGAAACGATTCCAGCATAGGCTGCCAAGGAAGCACAACATCCGTATCCATGCAACCGTGGTCTGTTATGTCCGTGTACAGCAATGTATTTTCCCTTCCCGTGGAGTAAACACCAAGAAAATACAATCGCGAAAATGAAGCATTCTCAGTCTGTATAGTCCGGAAAGCAAATTCTGAAGGCACCTTGTTTGCAAATGATGTCTGCATGCGCCTTGTGTTTCTAACTGCAGTTCTCAATTCTGTCCATGACTTTTTTGTTGGATTGCTTGATTTTGGCAAATCAAATATGTCTGACTCAGGGGGGACTGTTGTAGTGCCTGGCCCAGTTGCCATAGTGACCTGAGTGTACCAGTTCTGACAGCTTCAGAATAAGAATATATTTCCACTTATGAATGATGTGTATCAACTAAAAAACCAACCAGCCATTCAAACAGCAAATATTGTTCTGGATAAAACAAAGAAATTTTAGTTTAGATACATTTAATCTAATTGATTATACTCAATGAAAAGACATTAGAAATAGGCTTTAGTGCCTCAAATATAAACTGAATTCCTTAAGGTATAGATGCAGGTTCGTGGGCAATTGGGAGTGAAATTTTTTTTTTACTTTTTATTATCCAAACAGTCTTGGCTATAAGACAGTAACAGTCTCATACTAAATTTGATATTTGAAAGAGTGACAATTGTACAAACCTATTTGTCTATCATGTTTGTACTGTCGACATAACATTTAGGCATTTCCTTCATCTTTATAAATACTTAAAAATTCACAATTCAAACTGGAACAATTAGCTGTTTGGATTCAACTTCCATTGAAAATCAAAAATATTTATAAAGATGAAGGAAATTCTTTTGTTGTACTGAGAGTACATGTACCATAAAAGCATGTGAGCATGCAGTCGAGTATGCTTGTATACTTTATGGTGAACACCCAGAATAGACATTACCTACAAATTAACATGTAAAACACTTGCATCACAAAACACAAATGTCATATTACAATAAATAGCAAACTGATTGATCAACTTATTTGGATTTTCAACCCTTAATCAGTTTATATTATAATGATATTGATGCGATTGTTATATTTTGGAACTAGCCCTGAGTACAGTCCTTCCGCTGGTCATTCGCCCCACAGTCCGGGCGGACACCAAGGCGGAATATTTGTCATAAATAGTAGACAAATTACGTTCTATTTTCTATTATCTAAAACAGTTCTAGTTTTAATCAGTGCCCGGTTCTCACGTATTCAACCCATCCCATCCCATCCCACCCACCGACATCAACTTGAAGAAGCGCAGATCGACGAGACCGGAAGCTCAGCATTTGGAAGCCGTTTAAAAGACTGCCAACAACTGAAACAAAAGCCAAGCGCAACTTACTCGCTTGCCGTGTTTCCCTGGACGGGTCGCAGGCCAAAAGGTTAGTTTGACGAGTGAAGCCAACTCAAATACTAGCATGGAGGACATCACAGTGATGGCGATGTGATCATGCAGTACTTTGCAAACTGACATCGTCTAGACGAGTCTACTGTTTATGAGATTGTGAGTATGACTGCGACCCAGTCTCTGTCACGCTATCGAATACCGGGTAATCGAACTTACCGATAACAAACGATCGCTGTCGAAAATCGTAGCCGTCTACGCCCAGCTGCAACTTGCATTGACGATGTAAACTTTACCTACGAAAGCGACAGGGTAACTTCCAATATGGCAGTACCTGACTGCAAACCTAAACACCCACAATTCCCTGTAAAATGTAATATCATTTTAGAGTACATTTATTCAATTTTATTGGTATATGTGTTTTGATTCAATCTGAAAAACTATTATTTTGAAATATATGGATACTTTTTTGTTTTAATATTGAGCATTTAGTAGCGACTTATTTCCGTGTTTCAAGGGAATGAAGAATTCTCAAGGTCGAGGGTAACTTCCGGTAGGTCATAGGTCACCTGGTCATGTGAGAGGAGGCCAAACAAGGAACAGGAGGAATCGGGAGTTTAAGTTATTATTGATTTCACAGTGAATTTGGGTTCTACAAACAATTGTAGTTACCATGGATTTTATACAAATGACGAATTACATTACAGTGTGACGTAGATACAGTTTTCGTCACTAATGCGTAGTCTGAGTGAATAAGAAGACCGAAGACTGACCAATACAATAGTTGGTTTTATCACAGTCCCTGGACTGTTGTTTTAATATGCTACATTGAGTTTTCTTTTTCCAGCACCAGGTCGGTTTTATAGTCCTGTATTTCCTAATCTATATCTCATGCTCATTTTCAATTAGTATTTCACCGTTAATTAAGTGTTTGTCGCTTATAATTAGTAAATTAATTAATAATTTGAGTAATAGATAATCTCCTGTTTGTTTTGTTTGATGTTATGAAAACTAAAAATACAGTTCATACCGGATGATAATGATTAAAAGCACTGAATTATGTTAGTAATATCACTTTTATAACATTATTAGTTAGGTTCAGTTTTTAGATATTTAAATTTATCTGAAACCTAGACTTTATAGTAGAAAATTGAAATCCTGCTAATGTAGAAGATATACCTCTAAGCTACAGTTTGTTTTTCAATTTTACAATGAAAGGTTGAAGCCTTTCTCCAGTTTTCAAATAGTTCAGTCCTTATAAGTTTTTTCTGATATTCTATTGTCTCAGGTTATAAATGTTACATTTGCACATTTAGTTAATATAAAATCCATCTTTTCTAGGATTTTTTTTTTATTTTTCGCCATGGCAACAGCTGAACCAGAAGTGATCCAGAAAAATAGTGATCTCTCATCTTCAGTTGTCAATGATACAACACCAAAGGAGGAAACAGTTGCAGCAAAGGAGCTGAATAGCCAGGAATCTGTTCAAAGTGAACTTCCTGAAGCTTCCATAGAAATTGGAAATGATGCTGTGGCTACAATAACATTACAAGAATTAGGTGGGTGATAGACATAGTTATAAATCTGATTCCTGATTCTAGTCTATATTAAACTGAATACTGCCCCATATTCCTGTGCGTATACCATTTTTCAGGCACCAGTCAACTTCCTCAAATTGTCATAATTTGTATGTGTATTGTTGACATTTGTGTTGAAGCTCATATTTGCTCTGAAGCGCATCTCTAATTGGAATCCCATATAAACCCAAATTGCGTTTGTTGTAAACTTAATCTTTAAAATATTACATATTTTGTCCATAGAAGCGCTTATGTCATTTACGTAAGCACATGCACTACTAATAGAGCAAATACTGTATTTTCAAAAATTATTATTTGCATAAATAATAGAGCAAATTCGTTATTTTCAAAAATTAGTATTTGCATGATATACACTGCCTGTAGGTATAGACATCAAACTTGACTGTCACCTTTATCTACGCATTGTGTTATCAATACAGTACATTACAGTACCTGGTATTTCATTATATAACACTTGTTTTGCTCACCCATGATTTTGTTTCCTTTGCAGAAAATACAATACAATTCAACCCACAAGCCAAAGATAAACTAACTCAAGGAGTTGTGCAAGCATTTTTGCCACAAATGCAAAGTACAAGACAGCTTCTCAGTGAACTTACGTAAGTTGTAAAGTATACCTCAGCAGGATTATAGCCTGAAAATTGAAAGTGCCTGTCTAAAAACTTCATCAAAATGAAAAAATAGCAGTTGTTAGTCTGTATCCATAGACTTATAGTCTATTTTTTGTTGATTATTGATGGTTATTTTGTAATTTACATGTAATTTTCAATTAATAATGACAGGTTTGTAAAGATTTAACTTGTCAAATGAAATTTTCTACCAGTCTAAAATGTGGGGTGAGGCAGGTATTAAGGTTGACAGATGACTGACTAAAAGCCTGCACCGCTGTGCTATGACTGTGTTTATACACCAGTACAGAGTAGTCATAAAATAGTGATAATCTTTGCTAACAAAAATTAATTAAATAGTTACAGTAACATTGTCCATCACAGTGAGATGTTTGAGGTAAACAACTATCATAGTATTGTGAATGTTATTTTATGTTTCCACAGAAGAAATCAAGGAACATTGTTAGAGACATTACAACAAGAGAATGCTAAATTTAATGAATGTGACTCAATGAAAGAGTTAGTAGACTTGGTGAGTAATCCACTCCCTCAATATGCAAATGAGTTAGTAGACTTGGTGAGTAATCCACTCCATCAATATGGAAATGAGTTAATACACTTGGTGAGTAATCCACTCCATCAATGTGCAAATGAGTTAATACACTTGGTGAGTAATCCACTCCCTCAATATGCAAATGAGTTAATACACTTGGTGAGTAATCCACTCCATCAATATGCAAATGAGTTAGTACACTTGGTGAGTAATCCACTCCCTCAATATGCAAATGAGTTAGTAGACTTGGTGAGTAATCCACTCCATCAATATCATTATGCAAATGAGTTAGTAGAATCGGTGAGTAATTCACTCTCTCAATATGCAAATGAGTTAGTAGACTTGGTGAGTAATCCACTCCATCAATATGCAAATGAGTTAGTACACTTGGTGAGTAATCCACTCTCTCAATATGCAAATGAGTTAGACTTGGTGAGTAATCCACTCCATCAATATGCAAATGAGTTAGTAGACTTGGTGAGTAATCCACTCTCTCAATATGCAAATGAGTTAGACTTGGTGAGTAATCCACTCCATCAATATGCAAATGAGTACATTTGTGTTATTCTATTAAAATTACATCTCACAATAAATATTTATTTATAGTTTGCAGCAGCAAAGAGGTATCATCTAAAGTTAGTAGCTGTAAAAAAAGAAATGGTTAATTTACATGAAAAATCTACAAAATTACGGGTGAGTAAATTCTCATTGGTCAGTTTTCAGTTGTTTGATTGCACTTTATTTTTACATGACAAATATTGTCTTTCAGTTGTGTGATTGGTCAGAATGTATCACATGACAAATATTGTCTTTCTGTGTGTGATTGGTCAGAAAGTTTTTTACAGCACTATTTTGACAACATGAATTGTGATAGTTTAACATTTTCAATATTCGTCATGTTTTTTTCAGAGAAGAGCTTTGAAGTTGCAGAATGAAAAGATGAAAGAGAATTTAAAAAAAGAACAACAGAAAGAACGAGAATTAGAACATGAACGGCAGCTTACAGCCAGACCTGCAAAAGAACTACGAGAGAAAAAATCAGAGTAACAGTAGTCTCCACATATTATGACATGTGTTGATGT